ATTACTTTATTCTGTATTTACTTATTAGAAAACATTACAAAATCACCTCAGAGTATTATTTAATAACAATACTTTAATCAAGAATACTATAAAAAACAATGTTATTTTTAACCGAAATTCTTGTTATCGTTTAAAAAACAAAAATAAAGCTTTTTTTAAACAATTTGAAAAAGTTGAAATAAGTTTTCCCCGAAAAGTTCTTAATTTTTTGGTTGTATCACGTTGAATCCACGCGGTTTGTTCAAAGGAGGTTTTGCAATATTTTACCGTGAGTGAATAGACTAAAACTTAGCTTCTGTCAAAAATAACGAAAATAATTTTTTTACAATGTAATTCGTATCATATTAATTTTAATATGCCATATTGTGCGACTACTAAAAAAAGGGGAGAAAAGCTACATCTTGAGATATACCATCTTATAAGAGAAGTCTGGGAAAGAGAAGAAATACCGAAACACTGGCATGAAAGTCATATAATACCTATCCACAAGAAGGCAGACAAACAAATATGTCGCAATTATAGAGGAATATCGTTAGTCAATACAACATACAAAATCGCTGTATATCGAAAAAAGTAAAGGTTATGGAATTTTTTTTACAGGTATATTTAAATTTTAATTAGGCATTGATTTTGTGGTATGTACTGTTAAACACGTTCGGTAAAATGTGCTATTTTAATAATATCAAAACAACGACGAATTACACAGAAACCGCAACAGATAGGCTATTGATTATATTCAAAATAAGAGAGCTAAAAGACTACAACGTTCAAGGGGTTTTATTGTTTCATATGATCAATGGACCCCTAAATATGAAAAATCGCGGAGTGCTATAATTTAAATGGGTGCGTTTTTGAGATAGATGTGAATTAACCGCTATGCACTAGGGTGCATAGGGTAAGTTCTATGCACTTTCGTACATTTTTTTTTCCTTTTCATTTTCCATTTGTTTTATTTGTTTTTTGTTTTTCATTTTCCATTTGTTTCTATATTCAGCTGCTCTAAGAGCGTTTCCAGCTGAATTTTTAATTTGATCGGATCATCTAGCTGGTTATCATCCTATTGATCTTCTCCCCGGGACGTTTCCAGAAACAATTAATCTCTTCCAGCTATCGTCACCTCTGCGAACCTAGTAGGCAAAGAATACATTCGTACATAAACATCTACAGAAAAATTGTTCAAAATTAAATTTACTATCGAAATATTACTTTTTAAAGTCAAAAATATTTTTTTTATAAAAATATATTAAAAAAACACAAAAGAAAGCAATTTTGTTTTTTGTCTCATAGCTTTTTTCACGGGAATATAGGTAGATACAGACATATAGGCATTTCTTCACAAAAAAAAAACGTCCATCCATCCTCTTTAAAATGACGTCTGGTAGAAGACCTTAGGATTTAGAGTTTCCGAAATATGATTTTTCAAACTTCGCCACCCACAGCATTTTTGGTCCATTTTCTTTATTATTTCGCAAACATTGTTCGACTATTTTTAAGCAAGATATCGTATTTCAAAGTTGTATACTTTTAATGATTTTTGATATTTTTTACTAGATATTATTTTTTAGATTTCTCATAACTTTTTTTCTGGTACCTTTAGGTACATTATATACATTGCTGAATAAAAAATTTTGAGTCAGGTATACACCCAAAGGTACCAGAAAAAAAGTTTAATGCGAATTTTAAAAAGTAATCGTAAAAAATATCAAGAATCTTTAAAAGTATAAACTTTGAAAAACCATAAATTGCTTAAAAATAGTCGTACAACCTCGTACAATAGAATCACAGTTGAACCACAACAAAATTCTTTTTTATACTATGATAGAATACAACCGTAACTGTAATGGACTTCTCTTCCTATAAAATGTACTACCTAAAAGTTCGTAGAAAAAAGTTACAGAACAATGTTTGCGAAATACAAATTTCAAAAACAGTTTGAATGCATGATTGTATTTAGAAATTAAAGTGGGGAAGCAATATTTACGTTGCGAATTACGGGGGGTAATATGAAGAGAAGAAATCTTTTATGTTTAACCGTAGTGTAATTTTCTCTCTCGAACATAGATGGCGACACGGTTTTTGAGAACAGAATAGTTGCTACGTTTAATTTGTGTACGGCTGCAGATCTATTTGATATAACTTATAATTATTTCTTTAACCACTATTTAAGTAAGTTTATTAATATATTATAACATCATAATATTACTATGCTAATTTCTTGTATATCTAATTATTATTCCAATATATATATATATATATATATATATATATATATATATATATATATATATATATATAATATATTCTGTCGTTTGCTTATTATCAAGACTTGCTTCCTTACAGCTCTCAACAACACTTTTAATTAATGTTTTCACATCTTCTGGAGTAGAAGCTAGGAGTACTGTATCGTCCGCATATCGCAAATTATTTATGAAGTCACTGTTCATAATTATTCCTTCTTGTTTTTCAGAAAGTGCATTTCTGAACATTCTTTTGGAGTAAACGGCGATGTGATTCCAAACCGTCTACTAAAACTTATGTTTCATTCCAATACAAATTTGCAATTATGCGAACATCTCTGCCATCCAAACCAATAATGTTTCTTAGAACTTCGATCAATATAGAGTACTTAATACGATCAAATGCCTGTCGGAAGTCAATAAAAATAAAAAAATCATTGGCGTACAACAGTACGCCCAACGAAAATATGTAATCCACCATTTTGTTAGCGGTCATTTTGGATTTTCTATAATGAACTCTTTTCTACTAGTCAAGCCCTTTCATTTGATACCCATATTGAAGTAGTTGTGAAAAAATAAGTAATCCGCTATTGTGTAGCGGCGTCCATCTTGGATATACAATGATACTGAATGTATGTAGTGTATGTATAGTCGATTCGCTAATCTCAGACACAACTATCTAGTATTTTAGTAATTATTTTATTGCGAAAGTTAGTTACATTTTAACAGACTAGAACTGGATGACAATTACTATATTTACAACCAAGCACATATGCTCATAGCCAATATTAAGAGTAAACAGACATAAATCTTACTCCAATCAATTATTATTTATTTACACCATAATATAATTCCACAACAGACAACGGAAGATTTGACCAATTATTTAAAGGTAAATCCTCCAAATATACATTTCTACTTCAAGAAGTTAAAGGTTACGAAGTACCAAGCAAGCTTTAAAGTTTCATATCCATTGGATTATAAAAATGAAGTTCTCAATCCCAGTATCTGGCCTGAAGGTTCAATGGTTCGTCGTTTTGACTTCAAGTATAAGAATTGTACTAACCGCAGTTAACAACAAGACCAGAAATAATTGTTACAAAATTCGGCTTAGGCAAACTAGATACTACAAATAATTTTAAAGGCAATACCAATCAACTAAAAATCGTATGTATTAACTCTGAATCTATTGTAAGCAAAATAAATTGTATCGAAATATTAGTTAAAACTGAAAGTCTGGATTTACTATATATATCCGAATCATGTGTAATGACAATAATATAAATTCGTTTTATCTTCCTAATGCTCTCTTGTAATGACTCGTAATACTTTTTTGATTATTTTTTAGGTTATTACATGATACTATGATAAGAAGATAAGATATTGCGCATAAGTCGTGACGTCATTGGAGAGTTGCACGTTCGAAATGTCAGTTTTTTGTATGTGTCAATAAATAATCTTTAATAAATAGTTTGGAGATATCCTTATGTGTACAATTATTGTAATTATTGAACTTCTTAACTTATTTTCGTCCAGTAATTTCATCAACGAATGCATACAAACCCCATTTAACTTTAACAAGAATTCAAATTCTACTCTCCAATGACGGCATGCGCGAACACGACCGATTTTGGGCTACGGGAAGATCATTTCTTGTTATTCATAGTATCATGGGTTATTACATTTTTATATTTATAGAAATATACTCGTGCAATAGTTACTTCTTGATTTTTTATTCGTTTTAGTCGAATATCGTTTACTCCAATATTCGACTTTAAAGGAAAAATGTAATTTTAATAGGTTTCCAAGACATTAAAAATCGATATCAATATAAAGTTTCTTGTTTCTCAGTCTCACCCAAAGAGAATTGGAATTTTTAGAGTTTGTGAAATTTCCGTGGCAGTTACAATGGCTTTGTTATTTTTCGATTATATTACGAAAGATAATTTATTAGGAAATTCCACGACGAACAAATTATATCTTGTATCAACACAAGCCAAAAAGAATCGGTGTATTATTGTATTATCAATGCCAACATCAGAATAAACAAAAAAGTATTTTCATCTATGGTTCCATCAATACGATTTTCACCATTACTTTGCGTTGTGCGATGTATTTGCAACCTTTTGTAATTCAAAAATAATTACACCATTTAGAATGTCAACAAAAGCCGGCCCTGCATGTAATTATTTTTTCAGTGCAATATTTCATATTTATTGAAAGTCAACATAAATGCTCAATTGTATTTAAGAATTTATATTGTGTGATATGCCCACTGACTATTAGGGCGAGCGCCCACCAAAGTGGCGTGGCAGTGGCAAGTAGCAAGTAGCACGCGTCTAGCATAATGTAACCAATGAAAACGAATGATTCAGTTTACACCAAAATGACAGTAACGTCATTCATTCTAATCATTCGTTAGGATTGGTTATATTATGCTAGAAGCGTGCTACTTGCTACTTGCCACTGCCACGCCACTTTGGTGGGCGCTCGCCCTTAGTAAGCTGGTCGCTTTCCTGTCATTTTCACTCGTTGGTTGGCATATCTTGTTGTTGTCACCGAACTTGTTGTATCATGAGTAATAACAACCCTCTTATCTATGAGTCTATGACACCGAACCACAGAATAATATCAACATCTATGTTGTTCGGTGTCTATGATGTAGTAAAAGTAAACAAATGCCTATAATATAAACATTTTTATTATGTTTTTCTTTTCAGTCAGTGGAAAGTGAAAAAGTCAAAGACAGTAGTTAATTATTCTAGAATAGTTTCGTCACAGAATACTCCATCGTTTCGTCCATAAAATAAATACAGGGTTTATTGCCAATATATTATTTATTTATAAAAATGGTTAGGAAAGGAGGGAAATGTACTAGAGTAACCAGTTCTACACCAATTGGTAAACAATAAATATTACATATTTGTTATTAAACAGATAATATACTTTTTTAGCATTACTCCAATATTTAAGTTTTCTATCTGGATTTGGTTTCTTCTTTCTCTATGTGGTATTGAATTCTCAATTAAATGTTTTCATCTGTATAAGAACATATTTACAAACATGTCTTGTCTGGTCAATTTGTAGAATCTACAAACTCCAATATCCAAAAAGTATCTGGAACAAGATTAGGCAAATTCTTTGCAATCACAAAAGAAGAAGAATATAAACAAGTAATATACCAAAGTATAACTGTGATGGAGATATATAGGAATAAATCTTTTGAAGAATTAAGATATGAAGATTATAAGATGAACAAAAAGCGTAAGTAAAATCAAGTTTTTTTCCATTCAGCTAAGCTGACTTCAAATCATCATTCACAGGATTTAATTACAATACAGCAACATTTGGACAAAGTAGTGGATTTGGTTGGCCAATTCAACAAAGTAAATTCACAAATATTGGTCACAATATAGTAACATTTAGAGGAAGTAATGGATTTGAATGGCCCAATCAGCGACACATATTTACAGGTTTTGGTCAGAGTACATCAATATTTGGGCAACATAATGGGTTTGAGTGGCCAAATCAGCAACAAATATTTACAAATATTGGTCATAATAGACTACCATTTACCAACCAAAATACAGTAACAGGTTAGTATCCAATTTTTAATTTAGATAATAGCAGTAAGATCAGATCTGTTTTGTATTTTATTAATAGAGTTCAAACTAAACCATTCTTTCACTGTGTCATTAATTTTGATGTCTATAGGATTATAAGAATGTAACGAATCATTGCATGGTATTTTAGTTAAATCTAAGAGTTGCCAGAATCCTAATCAGCCAAATATGAAAAGGTTGTTGCTTCTAAAACTTTTATTGCAATTTGGCATAAAAACAAATCAATAGTGCTTATTGTTTAAGTTGTGTTCTTTGATTTATATAGTTGTATACACTTCATCTAATTTATATAACGATGTACGTCATCGGCGTCATAGTTTGTGAAGTCACATGATACCAACACGAAATATTTATACGGTAGGTGTGTTCTTTTTTAGAATCACTTTACCGAGTACACTGGCATTACAGCCACTAGATATATTTTATTATATATGCGTAGAAATAATATTTAAAAATTTCTATTAATGTTAACTTAAAGAAATACACAATAATGTGTTTCATTTAATTTGTATAAATGCATTATAAAGCATTTTTCTCAAGAACATTTGTTCGGAACACACTGTAACTATAATCGAACGAAGGTAAAATTTTGGCATAAATTGGTAACACTTACTTGACAGTTGCGGTGTTGAGACTTTTTGTACTTCATTATTTTGAATTTTAAAGTGAATGTCTCTTGTTTTATATTTTTAACTATTTAATAAAATCTGTTCTTTTTAGAACAAAATTAGTGTGTTTTATTTTAAAAATATCATTTAAGAATTTAAATAGTCAGTGTAAAGAGATGGCAATACTGTTGCAATCATTATGTGACCTATTTGATTTAAAATGGATTCAGGATTTTTTTATACTTTGGCAACTATGTCAACTTCGATCTCTGACGTAGATCATGACGTAAGTCGTTATCTAAATTAGATGAAGTATAGATTAGAAGAGTCATTATATAAAGTATTACATAATTGGACAGAACACCCATGTATTTTGAAGAAAATAAATTTTAATGTTCTAAATCATATATTCATTGCATATTCAAAGAAAATCTTATGGTTCTGAACAGAACCATTTTAATACATATACAATATCCATAGCAGTAATATTTTAAGATATTTCCTCAATATCATTCCTGAATTCTAAATCTGATTCATTTCAATCAATCATTAAGGGTTATATGTGGCTGGCATCAATTATTTTTGCTATCCCCAATATTCGTTTATAATATTTTCTGCATGCATTACATATTTCTTCCATTTTTTTTATGTAACCTTAAATGTAACTACAATTATTATTTAAGAATTTTAGTACTCTTGAATTACCTACCTGTTGTAATGCTTATTTCCAAATACTTAATACAGTACTTTCCTTTACAGTACCTGCAGAAGTTATTTTAGCATCATAATATCTTTTAGAATCAGATGAAACATTCTCGATGGGATTAAACTGGCAATGGTATGGAGCCAAAGCTTGGTAGTATCTGGATACAATATCCGGATAATTTTTATGTATCTGAAAGCTGTATCTGGTTATTTTTTAAATTTTGTATCCGGTATCTATATCTGTGATCAAATTTTAAAGTATCCGGCATCCAGATACTTTTTTTGATATTTGGATACTTTTAAATATTTATCGCCCGCCGATAATGCACCTAACGTAGGCACAACACTGCCATTCCTTCAATCCAGATGTGTGTAATATGTTAAATACCATTTTTTGTACTTGTCATTGTTATAATATATTGTTATATAGCTAATGGAGCTTTGTTTTTTACCTAATCAGTTATGAATTTTCATAAATATGTTGTTTAATTAATTACTTACATTTATTTTTTATATTTTCTATATCTCTCTTTTCAAGAACCCTTTTTTGTACCCTGTATAATTAGAAGAAATTATTTTAAGAAACCTTTTAAGGAAACTGAACTGTTATACCTAGAGGAATACTGTTAAGTTATGAAACCTTTGGCCTCAATGTTAGATTTGTTACAAGGTAAAGATAATGTATCTTTTGGATATTTGTTACCCAGTTTAATTTCATTAATTAATAAATATGACAAACTTCTTTCCCAAACAAAATTAAAATATGGAGAACATCTAGCAAAAATGTGCATTAAAAGCTTAAATACTCATTTTGCAAACATTTTAAATTTGGATCTGCAGGAACTGCAGCTATAATCCAATTATAGCTGCAGTTCTTCTTCCTAAATTTAAGCTTAAGTGGTACAATGTCATAAAAGATCCCAAAAAAACTATAGAAGATATAAAAAATGCATTATAACTGTCGCCAAAACAAAAATGGAATTAGAAAGTTGCAATGAATCAGATGAAAGTGGAGATCAAAATTTGGATAACCTTTTCGATTTCAGCAATTTTTGAGACCAGCAAGTGGACAACAGCTGTACTATTAATTATACACAGAATGAACAGGGTTTCAGTATCAATAATAAAACTTAAAAAAGTACAGTTGGAGTTGCTAAGATATTTGGAGGACAAAAGAACCAATTTGAACATCTTAAGTGAATACCTATTTTTAAAAAGGGTATCAATAAAGTACAACACATGCTTACCTTCATCAGCACCAGTTGAAAGACTTTTCTCTTTTGCAACTATAATCGATACACCTAAAAGAAAAGCTTTAAGCAATAAACACTTTGAGGTATTGGTACTTACAAAGGCAAATTCAAAGGCACTACTCTTGACTTCATCAACAATTGGAAGACTTTCTGTATTAGTACATTTTTATTTTAAATTAATGTTTCCTTATAAGTTTATGTTCTAGTTTTATTATTTATAAGCAATAAACAATTTTTTTAATACTTTCTGATTTCTTTCTCCATCAATAAATTTATTTTTATTATATATTACATTAAAAATACATGCACATCACATAGTTCTAATAATAATAATTTATGTCCTTAAAAAAAAGTATCTGAAAAAAATATCCGGATACTTGTATCCGAATACATTTTTAAATGAAAGTATTCATACTTTTTTAAAAAGTATCCGGATACATTTTGAGTATCCGTATCTGGTATCCGGATACTTTTTTTCAGTATCCGACCCAACTCTGTATGGAGCCAATCTCAACACTTATAGCCAATGTCTTAATACATACTTGAAGACTTTATCTGGTAAATGTTTCTTTACAATCTTAATTAATTCAAGTTTCATCATGGTTGTTGAAAAATCTATATGCCTCTCTTAACCATTCTATTAACGAGTCTTTGGTCCAACTTGAATTTGGTATACCTAAAAAAGGAGAGTAAATGCAATAATTGGCGTGCAATATCACTATGAAGCATCGCATGCAAAATGTTGTATGGAATAGCACTGAAAATCATAAAATTTATTAAACTCTTCTATGAATGATACAAAAACCAAACTCGAACACTCAGGTAAAGTAACAAAAGAAATTGCCATAGAAAGTGGAGTCAAACAGGGTTGTGAACTACCCCCTAATCTATTCCTTATTATGATAGATTGGGTAATGAGAAAAGTAACTGACGATCGAACAGGCATCAGATGGAACCAGTTTTAACAGTTAGAAGATCTCGAATTTGCGGATGACATCTGCCTACTAAATGAACACTGAAGTCATATCCAAAAAATAATTGACAATTTGAACTCTCCGACAGACTGAATTTAAACAAATGTTTTAAGAAAAACGCTGAAACTATACTGGCCCAACAGAATAACTAATATAAAACTATGGGAAAGAACAAAGCAAACCAATTTAACTACTACAGTCAAGGAAAAAAATGGAAATGTATTGGCCACACTTTGAGGAAAGATCAAAGCAACATAACCAGACAAGCACTTGAATACCAACCAGAGAAAAAGAGAAAGAAAGAAAAAGAGAAAAGTAAGAAAGGAAGATCAGACAATAGCTGGAAAAGAACTACAACGAGAGAACAAGAAAAAATTGGATTAAGACGGAGTGAATTTAAAAACAGAGTAAGAAATAGAAGAGAATGGAAGGAAGTAGTACATAGTTTATTCAAAAAAAAAAAGAAAAAAAGATGAAAAAAAATCTTACACTTTTGGCCAGACATGCATAAGCTCCCTATACTCCACAAGGGGAATAGAAGGGAGAGAGACAGAGAGAAAACTTTCGGCGATGAATCATTGATTTCACGGTGGTATGGAAGTTCCGCGAAAGATCGACTGTTTTTTGGAATATATTTTTACCGTTATATGTATATATATATATATATATATATATATATATAATATATATATATATATATATATATATTATATATATATATAATATATATATATATATATATATATTATATATTATATATATATATATATATATATATATATATATATATATATATATATATATATGTTATATGAGAAAATATTAACCTTGAACTAGCTTAAGTTCGCCGACTTCAGATTTCATCATCTCGTTCCCATAGAAACAGCTGAGCACGCAGTAGAACTTTGCACGAACCGTTGGCCAATATTCATGGGAACAGCGATTCAGCACTTCATACCAAACCTATAAATTACCATTCTCAGATGCCGGAACCACTCTTAGCTGCAACTTCGACCAGTCCAGTTATTGTAGTCATTTTAAATTAATTTAAATTTGTACTATTATTTAATATTTAATTTGTAACAAATAAAGTTCTTTTTTAAAAAGTCAAATACGTGATTAGTGATCTAACAATTGGCGCAAAGTCAGTAGGATCCGAAAAACGTTGCTAGAACACGTGTATACTCACTGGCAGCGGCGGATTCTCATCCCTTAACGGAACAAAGAATCTACGGAAGTCCTCACTCCTGTGATCTACGGAAGGAACACCTAGTGAAGCCCCTGGTAGCCGAGCAGAGAGAACAAGACGACCCTTAAAGAAGAAGACATCTCCGAACAACCTCACTCCTGTAATCTACGGAAGGAACACCTAGTGAAGCCCCTGGTAGCTGAGCAGAGAGAACAAGGCGTCCCGATGTTCTTCTTTATGTAAG